ACTGTCTATGATTTTATTAATTTAGTTTCTGGGATTTCCTCAGGAAGAACGACCTATTCTATTACAGAAAATACCTCGCCTCCAATATCTACAAATACATTTCCAATTTGTATTATTTGACAATAACAAAAGAACATTGTGCCACTGCACACAAACACTTCCCCCTTGCATACGTTCATCTGGTGTTTTGAACAACGTACGTGCAGAACTGCATTGGTTTTTGATGTATAACGGAGAAGGACAAAACATATGAGACAACCTTTTTCAAATTCATCTCTGATGATGTCTTGATAACATCTCAAAAATACATACCTTTCACGCTCATGGTTTCTGCTCATTTCACATCTTATGCTCGGCCCAAGACAATTAGGAAGATTTGTTTTAGTTTAACCGTTCTAAATTTGAATTCATATGACTTTTAGCCTTTTTCATTCTCCAAAAGTAAAGCTCATCATCTTTGCTCTTATTTAGTAAAACAAAATGTTAATCCGGACTCTTGGCCTACGTAAAATAAAAAGGGGGGGGGGGTTTCCTATTGGGGGCACTCTTCAAAACTGACCATTATTATGCATACTGCAAATATTATATGCCCATTTTCATGGCGCATTGTGATGGTTTTTACGTGAGTTTTCTTTTTTAGGATTTGGGATTGATGTCAGTACTCTCTAACCATTTATTTCAATAATTGCTGACAAAAAAAACATTTGTCAAAAAAATCTGCCAGGTGCAAAGTACCCCCCTGCCCCCCTCTGGATATGCCACTGCTCAAAAACCATTACAATGAGACATGAAAATTGGCATGATTTGCAGTATGCATAAAATGGCCAGTTTTGAAGAGCCCCCCATTTGAAATATGGGTACCAGCCCCTCCCCTCCCCCCCCCCCCTGTTTTTTTTAATTTTACGGAGGCTAAGTGTCCGGGGCAAGAAACATGTCTACATTTTGGCGTGGACGTGCGTTTGCCCCCCCCCCCCCCCCCCAACATCAAATGCTGGATACGCTACTGCCTGATGATGGCATCATTACATTATATACTGACTCATTGCCAAGCAGTATACCATTACAAAACCACAGAAATGCACAATAGACATCGTCTTGGACGATGTAATCTGCTTGTCTGGTAGCTTTTTAGTTGGTTTTAAAGACTTGGCAGGGCCAAGGATGACTCATCTCTGGAACCAATAATAAACTTGAATAATAAAGTGGAACATTCTTGAAAATGCATTTGAGCATTTGTATTCTTTCTCTTTCAATTGGTGTTTATAGTTTGTAAAGAAGTTGTCACACTAGAGTAAATTGCAGCAGGTCAAGACGAGATGACCATATACGTTCGGGAGTTAAAATATGAAGTAAAATGAAGTAAATGAAGCAGTCTTTCAACTGACTTTCACATTTACAGTTAAAATGTTCAGTGTCATTCAATTAAAACTTCAGAAGCTCTCAACGAAAAAAATAATATCTGGAGCTCAAATCACACGACGCCAAAACGCCATTGAATAAAGCAAGTGTGTATGATTCAAGTAAAGCCATGTACCCAATCAAGAGAGTAATCGAGACACCATTTATATTGTGGCACCGCATGCACCGGCGTCTTTTATGTCATTGGATCTCCAGTCCTTTCATCACAACCTCTTTGTCTAGTGCCGCCTTGGCTGGTTACCCAATTTCTTTTGTCAGCGTTAATCCAGGATTAGTATAACGACCCATGCCTGCGCACACTAGCCCGCATTGCCCGCACTTGCACTCAAAGGAACGCAAGGGCCCGTGCAATTGCAGCCAAACCCGTGTGGCACTGGGTTGCCCGCATGCACATGCGTGCTCCCGGGGGCGCACGCGGGTGGGAGCAAATTGGAAGTAATCCATGGGGCCTAAGTGAATGAGACATAGGGTCATTGTAAATAATCAGTGTCTCTGTATCCCGTAACAACATATATACAAGACCAAAATCAAGAGCTTTAAACAGATGAAACAGAAATAAAAGTAAAATCAATTTAAAAAGTCCAAAGATAAAGAAGTCTTGATATCCAAATCAAGTAACTTTTGAGGACTTATCACATTATATCAATCATTGTGTTTGGTAATTTTGAAGAAATATCCAAAAGCCCTGCAATAGACCTATCTATTAAAGCCCCACCTAATGTATTTTGACCAATCAAATCCATGATTAATGTCTGAGGCCCTTTTGAAACGTCAAACTTCTGCCGTGTCTAATTCAATTCATTGGAGACGGAGCAAAAACGGCAGAAGTGCGGCAGTTGCTTCAAACGTCAGTTTTCTGTCGAACGCAATTCATTTGTTTAAGATAGCAGACCAGTGGCTGAGCCAGGCTCTACAATATTTCTTTTATGGGATGGGGCAAGAAAAGGGGTTAAGAAATAATTTGGGTTGGGGGAAGGAGGCAACATAGAAAATCAAGGGGGATGGACGTCATTTGACAATTGAGGGCCTTGTTCAAATCCTGTAGGTACATGTATTAATTTTTAAAGTAGCTGCACTTGTTCATTTTTCTGATATTTATACAAATGATGACTTTGATCTCTTTTCCTTTTTAATTTTCCCCCTTGTTTTTTTTTGCTTGACAAAAATGGTAAGTCTCACCCATAATTCCCTTCTAAAAAATATCCAACTAGCCAAGATGGTTAGTCTCCTCCATAATTCCCTTCTAAAAATATCCTCCTGGCCAAGATAGTTAGTCTCCTCCATTATTCCTTTCTAAAATATCCTCCTGGCCAGGATGGTTAGTCTCCTCCATAATTCCCTTCTAAAAAATATCCTCCTAGCAAAAATGGTTAGTCTCCTCCATAATTCTCTTTTAAAAATATCCTCCTGGCCAAGATGGTTACTCTCCTCCATTATTCCCTTCTAAAAATATCCTCCTGGCTAAGATGGTTAGTCTCCTCCATAATTCCCTTCTAAAAAATATCCTCCTAGCAAAAATGGTTAGTCTCCCCCATAATTCCCTTCTAAAAAATATCCTACTAGCCAAGATGGTTAGTCTCCTCCATAATTCCCTTCTAAAAAATATCCTACTAGCCAAGATGGTTAGTCTCCTCCATAATTCCCTTCTAAAAAATATCCTCCTAGCAAAAATGGTTAGTCTCCCCCATAATTCCCTTCTAAAAAATATCCTTCTAGCCAAAATGGTTAGTCTCCTCCATAATTCCCTTCTAATAATGTCCTCCTAGCCAATATGGTTAGTTTCCTCCATAATTCCCCTTCAAAAATTATCCTAACAAAATAAATGGTTTATCTCCTCCTTATTTCTTTCTAACTAATATCCTCCTGACCAAAATGGATTGCCTTCTCCTTATTTTCTTCTAATATATAAAAGTATTACCACAATAGATTACCTTCTCCATAACGCTAGCAACTGATACACATGAACAGAACACATGTTCGCATCGCATTAACCCCCCTGAAAATGTATATAATTTGCCCTATTTTTGTCCGCCCCTGATAAACACGTGCTCCAATGTGTTCCTTTCCGAACCTTCCACCGCGACTGAATACATGACTCCATATCAATCAGATTGTTTACTTTTACACCGACCCCAACATTATAGAATCACACTTAATTATCCTTAAAAAAAAAAAAAAAAAAAAAAAAAAACGCGCATAACTAATTAATCTCCCAGTTCATGACGTCATTCTCCATAATCACGCCACAGGTTATATCTTAACCTGAAGCACAGTGTAGCCCATGCAAATTCTGGCTTGGCAGACTAACGTGAATGCGAGTTAAGAGTTATGTACTAAGTTACAATTTTATCAAAAGAAATTAAATCGTTTTAAATACCAAAGAGCAATATCCAGCCTAGTCTAGAATGGCAAAGTAACAATTGATAAAATACAGCGAAAAAAAAGAAAAGTTTAGGTCACAATGTTATGCTAAACTTGCTAAGAACTTGGCCGTACAGATGCCTTCAATTGGGAAACCAGGGTTGCTCACAGCTTCACACAGTTTTGTTGTATGATAATTCATTAATTCGTTCGCAATAAACAGGTAGTCCGGGATCCTAAGTTTTCCCAGGAACAAGAACAAATGCAATCGGCCTACAAAGAAATAAAATCCCACATTACATTTAGGAGAACAATTTCATTTGAGATCAAGCGTCGAAAAAAAAATTGACAATTTTTCTGTTATAAGTACACTATCATGGGCAACAAGGAAGTGACGGCCTCCTTAAGTTGTAATTGCTCCCAGGAAAGGCGAAAAACCCACCCCCCCCCAAAAAAAATCATTAGTTTAAAACATGGGCAATTTCCCTTCCGGCCCCTAGTCAAGGCGACCAAGTTTTCCTCAAACTCTAGAAGCAATCTTTGTAGTTTGTCATTGTTAAATAATAGATGTGTGTGCCTCATCACTTTATTCTCACTCCCTTCTTCTCAAATAATACACAAGTGAAAGTAGCCAAAACAATGCCAATGTAGCAATAAAATATGTTAACTTACAATCAGAAGAATATTAACCACGGCAGTTGTGCAACTCTACAGCCCAAATCACAAATCAAAAGGAGCGTGTTTGCTTTTTGGAACAATTTGGCAATGGTGCAGGCCGGTTATCTTGTGATAATTGCTAGATGTTATCGATATCATATCAGCCAGCTGTATTCATGCAATGCATGCGATATTCACACCATTTTACCACCTTTTACCACAATACCAGTCATGGCAAAGACATTACACTCAGCAAATTATTATGCCCAAATTTGCGGCAGTGGGTTGAACATTCTTCTAAATTTAGCACATAGCATGTAAACAAACATTGCACACTGCGTCTACAGTCTCAACAAAATTGCTGCCGAAGTTTCTAATCCATTATCATGTGGGACATAAAACAGTGCCATTTTTAAACACAGTTACAGTTGTAACATTTTTATTCAAATATTTTGGTTTTTATAAAATATATTTTATTATATTGAACTCTAGGGTAGTTCTCACACTTAACACCTCTAGTGTGGTATGAATCTGTTCTAGTGTTTTCTTCCTTTTGTTGGCAGTGATGAAGCGGGACCTAAACAACGTCAAGAAGAACATGACAGTTCTTCTTAAAGTCGAAAACCCATCAGAAAGAGATGTTGCATTTTTTGATGATGTTGCTGTAAGTATTTGACGTTTATAGCAAAGAGTTAGTAATGTGTGAAGCGTTGTGACCTTTGCCACAGTGTAGTAGAAGAGTCTTTTTCTGAGTCCAACAATTGTACTAAAATATAGGCTGGTACAGTAGGAGTTAGATCTGAAAAAAAATAGACATAGAGATGTTTGCATTAGATTTGATTATCAGTAGAATTCAGATCATTGTTAGACAAAAAGATGTACTAGAAATTTCCAAGAATGTGTGAAAGGACCAAGACTCGGACTCAAATTCAATTGTGCTGTAAATTATTTGTATACTCATTCTAAGTACTCTTGCACAGCCATCATGCTAAGGCTAGATTCCTGCTATGAAACCTCATTTTCTGTTCACTACAGAACTAACAAAGATGTGACTGCAACATTTGTTAGTTAAAAAAGTACAAATTGCTTAGATTTAAGAAGTGATCCGGATCTGTGTCTAGATGCAGGATTTTTTTTTAAGGATTTTCATCCATCATATGGAAAACTTTCACCAGATCATTGTGTGAGCAGCTCCGTGTGCATGACACTGACCCAGTTACCCTGTATGCCTTATCACCCACCTAGTTTAACCACTCAGGTCAATGGACTAGACCATTTATACAACGGGGGAGTGTAAAGGTAGACAAACACAAGCGTATACATGTACATGTTTTTTAGTGAATATGCAAACTTTTTAGCGAACTTACAATAAGGGAAGGAATTGTTCATCTTTGGTCGGAGGTTTGCGCTCTTTGAGTGCTTTCTATTTTCTTCTGTAATTGACACCGTATTTTTGACACCCTCGCATGCACCCATCCAGGTTTGAGTATTGTTCTTCTGGAAATTTTTGTTGTTGTTGTTCAAAGTTACATTTTTACGTCTACTCCTGTTGATTTAGTACACAGTTTCTAATGAGGTTGTCCCCAATTGGTGTCCTTAAGTATAGACAAATCCGGACATGCTATCAATTGTGTCACGGAGGAGTCAATTTTATGTAACGGCAGATCTTTTCTTTTCTCATTGCGAACAGGCATTTGTGGAGCAGTATGGGCGAAAACTAGCATCCTTGCAGAAAAAAAGTGAAGAAATGAAAACGGCATATGAACGAATGCTGGTAAGTAAAGGGGAAAAGTGCAGTGTTTATTGGTTGTCCAATTCTGTCAGTTGTCATGTCTTGTATGAGGTCTTTCATGTAGGACTGTTGGTGGGTGTGCATCACTGTATTTAACACATTTAGAATGCAAAAGAAATAAGAAAGTACATGGTACACATTCAAATTTTTCCATTCTTTTAAACCCAAAATATTTTTTACTTACCTCAGGACATCAAAAATAACATTATTTTTGTCCATACTTCTACTTGTGCCAATTCACACTTTCACATCTAAGACATGACCAAAATTTACAAATTAAGTATCTGTTGTTCATTAATTGAGTCGATTTATGAATTAATTTTATAAAGTTTCAGTCCTTTAATTAAAGAAAATCCAGGAGAGCTATAAATCACTCTCCTCAAATCTCTGAGAGCTAATAGCCTAGCGGCGGAACGTTAAAAGTGTACATTTATTTTAAAGACATGTCTGATATATTGAGAAACTGCCATCGGTATGTTACAACAAATGCAAAACATATCAGCAAAGTTGTCACAGCTGAATCTTCTAAACCATCATGAATATCAGAAATAATTATCAGAAATAGCCTACTTGCGTGGAAACCCATAATTTGGTGATTTCTTCACCTCTTTCCTACTCTGTAACTTCGTTAAGTCTGCTTAAGTATTGGGTTGAAACTTTCACAGATGAGAGATAAGATATGAGAAAGGACTGAAAAAGGTGTTAATGGTTTTTTTTATTATTTAGATCAATGTTTTGAAATACCTGACGCTGACGCTAAGGGGGGAAAACAAATCAGTGTTTCAGATTTATTTTCTCCATTTTTCAACAATTTACGTCGCCGACATAAACAACTAATAAAAATGGAGTGGCCTTATGTGGAGTTTTGTAGTGCAAAGTATATGCTGGAGGGGAGGGGACAAGACAATGTTAATCTTTTCGTGGTGATTTATTGCCACCCCGTTTACACTGGATCCTGCAAAGGGGGGCAAAGGGGGACCGCATCCTGCGGTTGCAATAAAACTACAGGGAAGCTAACCGCAAGTAAACTGTGCAGTGTTTACACCCGATCCTGATCCCCCTCCAATCTCCATTTACAACGGAAGGAAGGTCATTGAGTGTGTGCAGAAGATGGCCAATTTCGTGCGCTAATCACTACAGAAATTAAGATATAATGTTTTTCATCGCTATCTCACTGCTTGACTACTGATGATTTACTTGATATTTTACTCACGCTGGTCCCCCGATTTTTGTCGTAATCTAGATCTAGCTTCATCCTCTACGCATTGTCCCCACTGTCCATGAATAACATCACAGTAACGTTACGTATAGAAGCAATGACTTCCAAACGAAGTTAATTAGTCTTTTTTAGAGCAATTGTTTATACCATTGAGGTAGGAATGTAGCGGTATTTAACTCCAATTGTTTTTTGTTAATTTACTGGGAATATGGAAAGATTTAGAACAACATTAAATTGGCATAAACGGGACTACACAAAATAAAGATTGGATTTGGGAACACGTCGTGGGTAGCGATTTCTTGGCGATTGTGTAGTTAAGGGCCCCGTTCCAAATAAAGAGAACGTAATACGGCCATCCAGGAGTCACTCAACTACTAATTAATATTTAAAACCAACCAGGGTTTGAAGTTTTAAGGGAATCTTTGGGGGTAAAATAGTGATTAAGACGACAAAACGTAACACGAACAAATTGGTCATGGGGAGCAGTATAAGTGCGGCCGTGCTGAACCACGTTGGTATCAGCTGAAAATGCGTGAGCAAATCGCATTTTCTAACCAAGGATAATGTTCAAACTTAACCAAAAAAATTAGATTTAAAGAATATAAAATCTGCTTAATGCAGAAATGATTTAGGAATGAAAAACACTTTAAGGACTAAAACAGAACCATCGCGGGCCTCGCCGCGACTTGAATAATAACAAAATATTTTTCGCGGACTTTTCTACGCTGGCAGGATGTGACTGGGTCAAATTGCGGGGTTCGATCCACCAATTGCGTTTACACTCAACAATTAGGGGATCAAATCCCGCAATTGCGGGGTCCGATCCTTCCCGAAAGGGGGATTCAGAAAGGGGGATCCCATCCGGCTAAAGCTCGATCCACCTCGTTGCGGTTAAGCAGACTTCGATCCTCCTTGCCGGATCAGATCCCCCTCGAATCCCCCTTGCGGTATCTAGTGTAAACGCGGTGTTATTGCTGCTTCACCCCACCGGACCTGAACCTGGAAAAGTCACGGAAGGCAGTTGCCTAAGCCTGCCAAAAGTTCGCAGGTCAAGCAACACCTACGGTAGTAGATGTGGACCCAAAACAATCCTGCTGAAATAATGCTAATAAGGAAAATGATCATGGCACAAACTATATGCTCTCAAATTGGCACACCTTGCATGCTTTAGCCAGTGGAGGGACCAGGTGGCAACCAGTTAGCTGGCCAGTGCGAATTTGAAAAGCAAAATCACCTCATTTGACCATAGGGGTGCTCTCCCTTGCTGTTTTCAAGAAAGCATGGTCAGAGATCTTTAAATGCACCTGAGACATTCACAATATGTCACATTCACTTATTTCTGCACTAAATGTGTAGTGGGTTAAATATGTAGACCCACATCTTATTTAGCTGCAATTTCTTGGATGGACTCTTAATCAGACTGCAATCCGATTTGACTTGAGATTGTGACATGCAAAAGTTTCTCCAAACAAATGTGCACAAACTTGGCATGATGAAATTGTGTTGTCACAAAATGTTGCAAATTATCATTTACGTTCAGACATGTTACAAAAATTGAGTTGAGTCTAGCATTTCATCTCTTTGTTTTGCTTTGTTTGAATACTACAAAATCTGACGAAGATTTCTGCTGCAAATCTAAAGGATGCCATAATACAGTTAATGTAGGGAAGATTTTTATGCCCCGCGGCGAAGCCGAAGGGGCATACTGTTTCCGCCTTGTCCTTCCGTGGGTGGGTGTGTGTGTGGGTGGGTAGGTGTGTCTGTGTGGGTGGGTGTGAGTTTGTCTTACATTCCCTATGTGGACTTGTGAACAAGAGATGTCCACATAATGCAGGTTGTGTTAACGTTATGTGGACTAAGCCGTGTCCACATAAGGTTTTGCCCTTTCTGGAAAACAGGTTTAGAGGCATTTTTGGGTTAGGTTTATCCGTAGCAGAATGAAGAGAAACACTATAGGGAATCATAGAAAAAAAATTGGGTTAAAAGAGTTTTCACAGTTTAAGTAAAGTTATTTTTTGTACCGAGTTTTCTTAACTACACGAAAACAAAGGAATGTCCACACAAGGTATGTAACGTAAACCTGGGTGTGGGTGTGTTTGTGTGTCCGGACAAATCTTGTCAGCGCGATAACTTGAGAAATACTTCACATATGAACTTCAAATTTGGTTTGTGAATTGTTCTTGGTAATCCTAAGAACCCTTTTGCATTTGGGAACAAAAGGTCAAGGGTCAAGGTCACAGCGACTAAAACAAAAGAAATTTTGTCAGCGCGATAACTTGAGAAATACGGTTTGTGGATTGTCCTTGGCAATCCTAAGAAGCCTATTGCATTTGGGGCCAAAAGGTCAAGGGTCAAGGTCACAGTGGCTAAAACAAAAGAAATTTTGTCAGCGCGATAACTTGAGAAATACTTTACATGTGAACTTCAAATTTGGTTTGTGGATCGTTCTTGGTAATCCAAATAGGCCTATCGCATTGGGGGTCGAAAGGTCAAGGGTCAAGGTCACAGTGGCTAAAACAATAAAAATCTTGTATTTATTCTGAGATCATAGGGATTAGGGATTAATTCATATAAAACCTACAGAAGACACTAATGCTTTCATTGAACGTTCCATGTGACCAAGGTACATGTAAGTTGATGTTAAAAGAGTGGTGTTATGTCATGGGAACAGTCACGGTTGCGGGGCATTTGTGTTTGTAAACACACCTGACTTGTTTTTTTCTCATTTATGCTAAACATAACATACCGGGTACCTATTTCATCCCTTTTGTGATGTTTTTGTGTACATATTTTATTTACAGGAGAGATTTGCCGAGCCACAAGGGGTTGACTCAAGTGATATTTTTACTGCCATCAGTGATTTTGTCAAGGCTTTCAAACGGGAGATGGATCTTATACATGCTGCAGCTGGGCTTGGAAGGCAAGTAATTTAAGACATTTAAGGGCCTGCCATATGGATATGCTTGCCCCCCAACCAAAAAATATTTGAGGTATTAACTGAATTAACTTTTGTCAATGACAGGCATTGTCTTTGACGTCATGATGACATCACCAGGTGTCAGATTACCAGCGACTTTAGTTCAAACAGTGACCAGCTTCTTTCACTTATAACTCTTCAACAAAATGATAAATCATGCTACAGCTGAGGTGTCGTAGTCCCATTGAAGTTGGACAAGAACTCAAGGCAGAGTAATAATTCGAACCACTGTGAGGCCCCTTTTGGCTCCAAGCACAAGTACTCCTTCAACGGCCAGAAAAGGAGAGTTGTGGGAGACCTAGACTGCTATAAACTGCTATTATTATTATTATTATTTCTAGTTGACATAGCTTTATCAGCCAGCGGACTACTTTTTTTTAGACTATGAATAGTCCAAAGAAAAGCAGTTTAGCCACTTTGTCCGTTGTAGGTTTCCATCGCCGCAGTGAGTTGATGATGCACCAGGAGCTAGATGGTTTGGTTTAGGAAGCGACGGATGATGTTGCATGTTTGGAGGATGACTGTCCGTTGGAGAATCTAAAGGAGCAGTGGGTGGGAGAGCTGTTGAGGTCCATATTGTAAAAAGTTGTGCACTTTTGAGACTAAAGCATAAAACTTTGTACGTTGGTTCTTCATACAATTAATACAATGATTGGATGCGAGAAAAATATTCATGTATACATCACTCTACTTACCTGTAGAGCGAATACTGCATATGCATTGTTCCCTATGCCGGCAGGCAATTTGCTAAGAGTTTTACACAATAGCGCCCTCACGTGTCCTACCCACGACGCCCTGTGACATGCGCACTACGTTAGCGTCCTCTTTTTCTCTTAGCCGCAGGCGAGGTATATCGTGAAATTTCGATCGACTCGAATTTCACTGTTTTATTTATGCCTCTTAGCTGGGAGAAAGCTATTTATCAGATATAAAGAGAAAGTGTTTATTGTAGAGTTATCATAGTGAGTTATTCTAAGTGAAGTGAGTTAGAAAAATGAGTAAATCTAGGAAGTTGGGGAGGACTGGGTGTGTCGATAATGGAGGGACGTACATCCCACCAGACAAGCTCGAGTTCTCGGGGGACTGCACCGGTGATGGTACGTCACCGCGGCAGCAGTCCCCTAGTCGGCCCCTTCAGCCACTGCCGGCTGTTGGAGTTGACGGACCCGTTGACCAAGCGGGGGGCCGTACAACCCCACCATCTTCGGTCAATATTCACGGGTCCGCCCAACTGAAGGGGAAACGCACCGGCAAGACAAAGAAATTGTATGACGCCGGGGCAGTACCCAAAAAGGGACGTACGGCAAAAGGTGGCCCCGCTACGGGGCGCACCGTGCCTGTCCCTGGCCCGTCCACGGGGCACACGCAGCCGGAGGAAGTACTCCTCCATGGCTCAGTGCACCCAGGCCCACCCAGCCCTGTGATTACCACGATGCCTGGGGATGGGCTGTTATATGGCCGGCTAATCGACCGTACAGCACCCGCCTATGTTACCGGCGTGGGGGCGCTGTCGGCCGCCCGGGCTATTGATCGCGTAGAGCCGAATCCCTGGGATTCCCCCGGAGCGTTAATGCTACGCTCAGAGGGCATGCCTCTACATCGGATTTTATTCGTTGTTCGGGCATCCCTGTGTCCCCGCAATCCTCGGCAACTACTCAGAGTCTTTCTTCAAAAAGGAAAAAAATCGAAAAAGAACCGCCGTTCCCGCCGTTCTTCGACGAGTTCTAGCGGGTCATCCGGTCGATCACACTGTGGGAAACGCCACAAGGGTGGCGACCCGATTTCACGCGATCATTTTTTTTTAGGCTTTTCACTCCCTCGCGGCCTCATTGTCAGGCCGGCAGGGAGACTATGGTCACAGCTGGATGACTCCGGGCCAAAGGGCAAACCGCACACGGTTAGCCGTGCGCCAGAGTCCCCGCCAGAATTACAGCCCCCACCCGCCAGTCATCACGGCCGTGGTGGGGTGACTACAGACCAGCGGACAATGCCGTGCACGGAGAGCCGTGCACCGGCGTCCCTGCCCGGTATTAGTTTACACCCATCGGTGTCACTAGAGTCTGAGCGGGGCCCGATACCGGGACACCGTGACGACGCTGCTTCGCCCCCGGGGCCTGGTTCCCATTCCCCGGTGACAACTCGCCCCCTGTACTCTGACAATTCGGCGGACGAGAGCGAGCTGACCCGCACCATGCAACGTCTATCGGTGGCCGAGACCGAACTCCGCTTGGTTCAACGGGATATGATCAGGGTTCTGAATCACCCTGCTGGTACCGAACCTCCTCCTCCTCCTGAGCGTCAGTCGTTCAAGAAGAGATCGGGGCCGACGGCAGAACCGGTCCGGGCTTTTCCCACAATGCCTCTGGACCGCGTGTGCGTTGATCACATCGACGGGATAATGCACGCAAAGACATGGAGTGCCTACGCTAAGCGCGTAGACTCGTATTATCATTTTCCCCCAGGGGATTTTGAGAAATATTTCTCAACTCCAGTCCTGCCGGACTCGGCCATTGACAAACTCGCCGCTGACCGAGGGACGGCTTCATCCAAGGTTCCTTTTACGGACAAGACCCGTGGAAAGCTAGAGGATGTCACCCGTAGAATGGACTCGGCGGCACGCATGGGTATGCGTGCGACGTCCTTTCTTCTTCTCCTATCCGAGTACCTGGCCCTGGGATATGAAGAAGATTTGGTAATACCAGCCGACATGATGGTGGCTGCTCTCCATTGCCTCGATCCTGGCCTATGCTCCACTCTCGACCAGTTTGCTAGAGTGTCGACCTTGGCAACATCGTCACGCCGCGCCAATGTGCTAGATGCGCTTTTCCTCCCTTCACCTGGAGCACGTAAGCGTCTCGACGAACTTCCGTTGTCAGGCCCGGACTTATTTTCTGGTAAGTTTCAGGAGGCCATGGAGGCCGAGGCAAAGCGCCTCAAGGCCACTGAGAAAATAAATCTCAAGAAATCGGCCGAGCCGAAAACCGCCCCCTGGTCAGAGCGGCCCGTGGTGGATTTCGTGGGCGCGCCGATAAAACGGTCGGCCCGCGCTATTCACAACCACATACCGGACAACAACGTCCCCAGTCGGGACGCGGTTTCTGTGCGCCCACTCCCCGGTACACCGGGGCGTGGCGCAAATGACTTATACGTCTCCAGGCGGCCTCCCGCCAGGGGACCCATGGGAGGCCGCCTTCAGGAGTACATGGGGTCCAGGGTGCAGGTGACGACCGATGGGTCCTCGAAACGATCAGCAGCGGTTACGCGCTCGAGTTTACAAGGACCCCCCCGTCGGACATGCTTATTCGGACAACGCCCGTACCGCCCGACACAGCAAAACGCCGCTCCCTCGAGGGGGAGATCGACACCCTCCTTCTAAAGAGAGCAGTTCGTGTTGTCCCCCAAGGGGGGACCCAGGCAGGTTTCATGTCGACCTTCTTCTCGGCCCCCAAGAAGGAGACCGGCGTGTGGCGTCCAATATTGAACTTAAAACCCCTCAACAAGTTCATACGTCCGAAACATTTCCGCATGGAAACGTTACGGACCATTCTCGAATCGATCATAACGCCAGCGTGGGCGGCCAGTATAGACTTGAAAGACGCGTACTTTCACGTACCGATAAGGCCGGAGCACCGCAAATTCCTACGTTTCCAATACAAGAATATACTGTACGAATTTGTGGTGCTCCCGTTCGGGCTGTCCACTTCTCCGCGGGTGTTCACCCGGATCGTGAAGACGATCGGGGCGGCACTGCGGCGACGAGGGATCATGATTTTCATGTACCTCGACGATTGGCTAGTAGTGGGTCGTTCTCGGGGGGAGACGGAAGCGGCGCTCCAACTAACGTGGCACCTTGCTTCCGACCTGGGATTTCTCATCAACACCGAGAGAAATCCCATCCAGTCCCCTCGCAGGTTCCCACCTTTCTAGGTGCATCCCTCGATCTTCGCAGGGGACTGGCCCGTCCATCGGAGGACCGCCTGCTGAACCTTCGGCAGTGCGTGTCCCTCTTCCTCCCGACGGTAGTGGCTCCGGCCCGAGCCTGGCTCAGGCTGTTGGGCCTTATGGCCAGTCTGGTGGACTTTTTGCAGGTTGAGGATGAGGCCAATTCAACTTCACCTGCTTTCTTTCTACAGACCCTGCTGGCACCCGATCGACCATCCGGTGCCCACTACGTCTTGGCTAGTCCCCCACCTTCATTGGTGGCTAGTTGAGGCCAATATAACGCAGGGCCGCGTTTTCTGCCCGCCCCGCCCGTCGGTACTTATCACGACCGACGCGTCAGGGTACGGCTGGGGGGCTACCCTCCACCCGCGACAGGTGGCGGGCGTATGGGGCCCCGAACATCAATCATCCCACATCAACGTCCTGGAAATGCTGGCAGTCACCAACGCCCTAAAACATTTCCAGTCGGACGTCAGAGGGCAAGCAGTCCTGGTACGATGCGACAACGCCACAGTGGTGGCATACATCAATCACCAGGGGGGCACTCGGTCAGGCCATCTGTGCGCACTAACGTGGGATCTCACCCTCTGGTGCATACATCACGGGATAGCACTGTCGTCAGTCCACATCCCGGGCGAAGAGAACGTCACAGCCGACACTCTCTCCCGAGGCTGGATCGCCCTGTCAGAGTGGTCACTGCTCCCACAGGTGGCTCAGTCGATCTTCCGACTAATCGACCGGCCGCATGTGGACCTATTCGCGTCGCGAATGAACAATCAGCTACCGATCTACTGCACGAGGGGCCCAGACCCCAACGCGTGGCAGACCGATGCGCTGTCGGTGCGGTGGGACGGCCTACTGGCCTACGCCTTCCCACCCATCTCCCTCGTTTCTCGAGTGCTGACCAAGATCGAGCAGGAGGATTGCCGAATCCTCCTCATAGCCCCGTTCTGGCCCCGCCAGCCGTGGTTTCCCCGGCTCGTCCGACTCTTGGTTTCACC